TCTGGGTCGACATGAACTGTTGCTGTTGAACCGATCCTGTCCGTTGCGTCTCTGCACATCTTTCTCAGCTTCGCACTCAGACCACAGCCATTGGTCGGCTCCACTAACTCACCTGTGCATGCACCTGTCCTCAGGTGTGAGGACGCCTCACCTGGCCAGCAGAGAGCCAGCAGCTCCGCCTCCTCTCCTCTCTGCCCCGCCTCCTTCTTCTGTGTTTTGTTTGGGCTCGACCCAATCAGCTCGACCGACCGGCCTGCGCTGCTCATGACATCATCATGACATCATCACCATGTGGACCAATGGGGCTGGCTGCATGTCGACCAGCCGGGGGGCGGAGTCAATGTGACGCAGGTGGAGGGCGTCTGTAGGAGCAGTCCAACATCTGTCCTCCGATTACTGATCGAAATGATTCGTAGTATGATTTTTGTTTTATCAGTGCAGTACAACGGAGCTCACGTTTAGCCGCTTCAGATCCGCTTCTTCCCATTTTTGCTTCTCTGATGTCATCTGGGTTGTATTATGCCACATTTTGGTCATTTTCCTGCTTTCTGCTGTTGTTCTGCGTCACATTTTGGTCATTTTATGTTTTTATGTGGCTGGTTTGGTTGTTTTCCATCATTCTGGGGTCGTTCTGTCAGACACGAGACGTCCACAGACTAAATCAATTTTACATCCACTCCAGGTGTCCAAGACTAAGTCTGGGTTCTGTCATGTCGTCTGTCAGCAGCTGGTAGCATCAGTATTATGGGATGTGTGAACAGTTTAATGTCTATGACGTAGAGTCACAGAAACAATCACTGGTGCCCTGGATGTGTTTCTGGTTTCTGATCATTCACCAGAGAAAACTTTAAAGTTCCTTCGGAAGACCCGAAACAAAGTCAGGAACCTTAGACCTGAGAACCCCAGAGGTGCCGTCACACCTCCGACCTGTAGACCCAAATTTAGTTTAGTCCAGAGCTGGTTTTCTAAGACTTGTGTTCTATGTACCGGGTCTATAAGTACAGCACAGTTAGCTACAGTTAATGGACTTCATCATCTCAGAGTCCTGCCAACATCTTTTTCCGCAGCACAACAATAATGTTAATATGCAGATGATCTACTGCACATAGAACAAAGTCCTCAGATGGACCTGAACAGTAGAACATCAACGTCCACCGTGTGTCCGAGGTGGTTCGTGGTCCGTCATCACGGAGTTCGATTACGCTTTAATTCTCACTAAAATGTTGGACTGTTCCTTCGGCGGTTCCGGACCTCGTGATCGGGTTCCTCCGTCTGGTCACGTTCAGTCTGAACCCCAGAACTTCACTCTGTTGGATCAAAACCACAGAAACACGTCCATCAGAAACCAGCTGCTGTCGGCTGCTTTGGTCTGAACCAGTGAGCGACTGAACTAACCCCGAACCGGAGGGGATTGTGGGTAAAACACCGGGCAGATGTGGGTGTTGTGTTCCAGATGTTGGCGTCCAGGTGTGTCGCGGTGGGTCAGACCTTCGCTGTGCTGGGGTTCTAAAGGTGCTCAGTGGTCATGTGGTTTCTGTTTGTGTCCTGAAGGCGTCCAAAGAAGCCGGACAGGCGCTGGTGTGTAAAACCAACCCCAACTTCGAGGTGCATCATCACCACCTGCTGCACTGTCTGGAGAAGACCACGGTGAGGAGCCGCTAGCACCACATACGTCATCAGTTACAGCTCAGGAAGTAATACGGCATCACGTAGAAGATAGAAAATCATACAAATAACACCTTCCTGCAGAACTTCTCATGTTCAACTCAACACATTGAATCTAGAAACTTCCTGAATTTATCTGAATATCATTAAAAACATCCCGCACAACATGAACAACGTTCCACCTTTGTTCTCCTCAGAACCACGAGTTTGTGGACGAGAAGACGTTCGAGACGACCTGCAGGGAGGTGACTCTGGTGAAGCAGGTGTCTCGATCTTCGTCCATCTCCTCGGCATCGTCGCCTCACAGCTTCACCTCCTGCTGCGCCCGCCGCAAGAGGAAGACCTTCAACGTACCAAACTCCAACATGTCGGTGGGTCTTCAGGGCAGCATCCAGGAGCTGAGCACCATCCAGATCAGGGAGCGGCCGCTCACCAACAGGTAGGACAGGTGACGTCCAGGAGGGAGGGTCCATGCAGACTGACGACGAAGGTGGTCTCACATCCAGGGCTGAAGACATGCCTTGAAAGCTCCAGAAGCTATGAGGGAGGCTTTAGTGATTCCAAAGGTCTTTGAGGGGTTATAGAGATCGTTGTGAAGACTCTAAGGTCTAGAAGAGGTTTCCGTCAGGAGGTTACACAGGAGATGTTAAAACTGAGTAAGTTGGTTCAGATGATTCCAGATTTGTTCTTCGAGAAGGAACCAAAGATCACTGATGATCACTGTGTTTTAATTTAGGTCAGTTATTGATGTTGCAGAGGTCTCAAAGAGGTCTTCACGGCTTTATTGAATTTCCCTTCTGGGATAAATAAAGTATTTTTTATTCATTTCATTAAAGTGGTTTCAAAGTTCTCTGAGAAGTTCCTTGAAGAGGTTGCGGGAGTCACAAAAGGTTTCAGAGAAGATGCTGAAACTGAAGACGTTAGTTCAGACTTTGGTTGAGAAAATCTGGTTTAGTCCTTTGAGGAGGAACCAAAGATCACTGATCACAGTTTCTGAGGTTTTAGAGGTTTTTGAAGAGGTCTTGTGGTCAGTGAAGTGGTTTAAAGTTCTCTGAGACATCCTTTAAGAGGCTGTTGTGGACCCTAAGGAGGCATCAGAGACCTGAAGGGACGGTACAATTCCATTTAAACCATTTTATCTCAATAAGTTTTCATCCACTGTTGCCGTCCTCCTGCGGTCGACCGTTAGGCTTCAACACAAGGTGGTGTTGACATGAATGCCGTAGTCGGCCTTTGAATCGTCCCTGTCTAGAGTCTCTATTAGATGGTGTTAAGGAGGTCCTTGGGGTCTTTAGGAAAATCTTTGAGTCCTTGGAGATAAAGAGCTCGTTTGAGGAGGTGTCAGAGGTCACTGTAAAGATTTCAGAGCTCCTTGCGGAGGCAGCAGCGGTAGATAATGAGGCTGTGATGATTTTTAAGTACGTTCCAGACGTCTCCGAGGACGTCCCAGAGCTCCTGGAGGAGTTTCCAGGGGTTTTGAGAAAGTTAGCGGTAAAGATTGACGATCACCTTCGGTTTAAATGATCTGGTCTCACAGCTAAACTGTTTCCTGAACCATGATTAACACAGATTGGTTGCCATAAAAGGCAAAACATTTTCTATTAAAGCTCCTAACTGGTGCATATGAAAGTCATTTGAGTGGTAAAAAGACGAGGTTGGCAGCTTTGACCTGGTTTTCTGATGAATCCCTGAAGAGCCGGAGTGCCACACACAGCCTGAGTGTACATGAACTCCTGGCAGCCGAGGTCACGTGACCACTCATTCCCATGTCGAGTCAGAGAGCAGGAATCCAGAGTATGTCCAGCTGTGGGAGGCTGTGGGAGGTCTGGGAACTAAACACTGACAGCTGAGAGCAGCTCCACTCGTTTCCGTATCAGTAACATCACAGCTGAAGCAAATTCATCTGATGCCGCTAATTAACTGGCTAATCCTGCAAATTATAAATACACCTGAACCAGATTCATCTCAGAGGGCTTCAGCCGACGGGCCTCTGGTTCTGACTGCTGCCGGGGTCCAATCTTTTGAGGCGTATCAGCTCAAATTATGGGAGCATAAACACATCAGATCTACCTAAATAAGCCACTGATAAACCACCCAATGGGAGCCAACAGCTGTGGATGGAGGTATACCTGAAGGCCTTTCCAGGTGATGAGGTTTCTGATGAGGACTCAAAAGCACAACACAGGAAAAGACCAGTGAGACCTAAAACTAACTTACGAGGTAGCAGATCAAGACAGAGTCCAAGTAAACAGGCTCAAATCACAACGGTCTAGTGGCAGACTGGGGGTGCAGAGTCTTTGGGTCGATGAAGTGGTTCTAAAAGAACCTGAGTTGGTTGAAGTGGTCCTTGATGAATTATTTGGAAAAGGCAAGTGGTTTCAGGGATTGTTGAGGTGGTTCCATAGGTGTTAAATCATGTTTTGAAGGACCACAAGGAGGTCTCAAACATCCTTTAGGAGGTTGTACTGGTCGTTTAGGAGGTATTGGGTACTACAGAGAAAGGACATCCTGGTTCTTAAGTCTGTCAGGACTCTGTGAAGGGAACCTCTGAGAAGGTTTTAGAGGTTACTGAGGTAGTTGAGAAAGCTGTGATGATCCTTAAGCATGTTCCAGGTGTGATGCACCAACGAGAGCGTGTTTTAAAGTCAACCGTGAAGGTTTGAGAGGCCGTGAAGAGGTCTTTGGGTGGTTTGAAAGGTCACTGAGTAGGTTAAGGGGGTACCAGAGGTTCTGGAGGAGGTTCTAATGTTTTTAAGAATGTTTGTTAAAGAAGTTCTAGAAATTTTGGAGGTACTAGAATTCCTGAGGATTTAAAAGTAGGTTTAAAGAGAAACCCCAAAACAACCCCTTCATTGCTTAGAGTCTCTGTTAGATCCTCTAGTCACAGAACTCCTCCTCCACCACCTGATCCATATCTTCTACTGGTCTCCTCTTTGTCTCCAGTCGTTCCAGTCGATCCAGCCTGAACGCCAAATTTGAGGAGACGGTTCCCCTGAACTGCGACCAGCCCTACATCACCGCCGCCGTCATCAGCATGCCCACGCCGCCCGGCACCACGCCCGAAGGCGACGACTCCGCCAGCTCCACCGACTACTCCCAGGCCAACATCGTCCGGGTGTCCGCGCTCTAGAACCTCCGAGTCCTCCCCAACCTGCCACCCGTCCGGCCGGAGGACGTCGGGCGTCGACACCCTGCAGGATCAGAGGACGGTTTGGTAGCTGCATCATGTGATCTCAACGGATGGGTTCAGTCAAATCCTTCAGACCTCTGGTGGAGGAACGGGTCCATCGGTGCGCACCAAACTCCCCTGGATTGAATTTTCTTCTGCGTTTTCTTCCGGGAAGGATTTTTACTCCGTCAGTTGAAGGAGGAAGGAAACGATGAAACTCAACTCGTCACCGTCGCTGTTTTTTCAGTCTTTTGAATTCGATGTCCTGAAACACAAAGAGAGCTCCTCTTTACCCTGAATGAAGGCTAAAGGATCGGTCTGATGCTGATGGATCATTTTACGATGTGTTTAGCACAAAGACGGAAGCAGGACACCTCCACGTCCGTCTGACTTCGATGCTAGCTAGCACGTTAGCTGGACTTAGCTGACTGGAACCAGGGATTGATTGGATTTGTGGCATTATCGAGCTCTAAACCTTCCAACTATTTGCTAAACTTCACATTTAAGACAAAACGTGATTTCACAAACAGCACATAGATGTTGGAAAGTCTTTGGTGTCTGCAGACGTTTTATCTTCTCCTTCAGGCTAACGGTCTTCCAGCGATAACGACTCCTTCAGCAGCTTTTCTATTTCTGTTTGTGTGAACACGATCCGACATGTAGAGAAAGTCGGGGCAGTTTGGGAGTTGTTAGATTTTTTTGGTCACTGAACACTTTATCGTTTTCCTCCTGCTTGTCGTCTTTGTGCTAAGCTAAGCTACCTGCCTGTGCTCCACAAGCAGGTTGTTGTGATGATCGTAACTCAGAGTCACAGTCTTGGAAAACCAGAAGGTGTTGAAGGTGGACCTCAGCAGCCTTCTGGATGAACCACATCAGCGGTTCATGTGAAGCTCTTCCTGTTTCCAACATTTATCCCTCCACAGATTTCCTCCAGAGTAAATGAGTTTTGTGAGACCTGCAGCCACAGATCTCCACAAGTTCTTCTGGTTTCAAACTTTATGCAAATTAATCTGAACTAAATGACAAAATGTTTAAATTCAGTCTTTTTCAAGCTGCAGACGCCAAAGTCAGGATCTCTCTCTTGGTAGTTATTAATTTTTATTTTAGTTTTTGATTGAGCAAATTTGCTGAACGAACATTTAAATAGAAACAAATCAATAAATATAAAGTAGATTTATCACAAACCTGCGGTGGACTTCTGGCTAACTGTGGAAAACCTCCAACATTTTTAATTCTGTTCGTTCTGCTCGGTTTGCTGACGGGTTCAATGTTTTCACCGAGTTTGTTGTGAATTCATCTTTTATGAGACACTAATATTTTTCTAGATCTCAAATTCTGTCCATCCAACGATAACTTTATTAAATATCTTTGTACACTCAAGAGGAGCCTACGTCTACATCAGCCAAACAAAATACCAAAGAACATTCTCTCATTTAGTTGTTTCAGCAGCAAACCACCAACAAGCCTCAACAACCCGTTTGTGTGGACGAGACGTTGAGGAAATTGTTCAATCTGCAAAAACTGTCCGTATTAATGTGGACACAGCCGGAGCCTCTTCGTCCATCAGCTGGAAGAACTTTATAAAAACTACTATTTGGAACAAACTTGGTGAAAACCGTCAGAGTTCCGGTAAACCTTCCATCAGTCGTCCTCACCGTTAGCGAGACGTCCACCGTTAGTTTGACACAAATCTAGTTTATAGCCAAAAGTTAAAAACATGAAACAACATCTTTACTTCTGATGGTTACCAGAAGCTAATGGTTAGCTTAGCACCACTGGCACAAGTTGACATGTTTGCCAGCAAACTTTTATTTTTGACAAACTTATGGAAACTTAATCCATAAATATTAATAATTCAGAGCAGCTGAAGTCCTTTAAAGACAAATTATAGCGAACGTAGTGGAGTTTGATTCGGATTTCTTTTACGTATGATATTTGTATTTTCATTTTGTATTTAATTGTTTTCTAATCAATGCTTTTTATTTAATTTTATTTATTTAATGTTATTTATTTGCCCAGAGCAGCGTTTTAAACGTTTATCAGACCTCAGAGAGCTCTTGTGTTTCAGCTGAAGCCCTGAACCTGAATCATGGAGGAAGAAAAGCTGCGCTGAGGTCCGCTGAGGTTTTCCAGGACTGTGATCGGTGGTTCTGACGGTTCTGGAGGAGCTTTACTGTAATTAGTGGACGATGTGAGGAAGCCATTGAGCATGCTCAGTATCTGTGTGTTTGAGTGCATGGACCCGTGTGTTTCTGCATGCACGTCTGGTCAGAGTCGGTTCGAGCGGTTCCGGTTCTGGTCCCGACTCTGTAAATATAGTTTTGTAGCTGAGCTGACGGCCTTCCTCTGCGCTGTACACAAACACTCAGACGTTGTACGGGGGAAGCTTTTCGTCGTCGCGCTGGAGCTGCTGTCGTCTCGTCCTGCTTGCAGATTTATTTAATGCACACGTTGCCTGATGTCGTTTGTTTCTGACTGGACTCTGAACCGGGCTTCGGTCTGTCGAGCAGATCGCGTTGTTTTATGGACGGATGTCTCAGGATCCTCACGCCACTAAGAAAAAACAGAAAATGTCCCTAAAACCAGCTGTTTTCATCAAATCAGGATTTCTGTCTGAAAATTAGCAAAAACTTGTTTTTACTTCTGAAAATACAAAAATAAGTGAGTTGCTGAGTAAAACATCTAATGTTGGCGCCGGCGTACGTCTGTTCCCAGATCGATGCTTTAGACCGGAGGAGCTAACAGAGCTAACAGAGCTAACAGAGCTAACACAGCCCCTAATCAAGCTATACAATATAAAAGTTTAATAATTAAATATGTTCACCACCAAATCTCTGAGCAGCAGCTTGTCGTGTCGGAGAATCAACCTGAGCTAAACTTAGCTAACGTTAGCTCGGCAGCTAAAGTGAGACAGGAGCTCCAGCAGGATCAGTTTATCTGATGTAGTTAGCTCAGCTCAGCTTAGTGTTTGTTTAACCCCCTTTAATTAAAACGTCTGTGTGCAGGTTAATCAGTGAGCTGTGTTGCTGTTAGCAGGTTTTAACTCTACACAGCTAGCTTGTAGCCTGAGGCTAGCAGAGAGTAAACTACAGGAACAATCCCTCACTTAAACCTTTAGCATTTTATAGTGTAACGTATAATAAACGCCTGCTATCGAAAAGTTTAATTTAATTAAAGTAATTCCACATCTCCAGCACGGTATCTCTGAGCAGTAGTTTGTCCTGTTAGAGAGTTTAAACGTTAGCTAACCCTAAACAAAGTACGGTGGGAGCTTCGGCGGGATCAGTTTTTCTGACATAGTTAGCTTAGCATAGTGCTCATTTGAAGAAGTATTTCCTCAGATTAACTCAGTCTGTATGCAAATTAATAAATATGTTAGGAGGTGTGTTTTTAACTACACAGTCAGGCTAGCTTGCGTTAGCCTGGGGCTAACAGATCGCTCTCTGACTGACAGGAAAAACTGACAAAGAGTTAAAAATACAGTTCCTTAATTTAGATTTTTAAAAATTACATTTATTTTTCCCTCATTATCTTTAACCAGCAGTTTTTCTTGACAGTCAGAGAGTCTGTTACGTTAGCTAACCTCAGCTAGCATTAGCAGCTAAAGTAGGATGGAAGCAGGATCAGTTCATCTGCTCTGCTGAGTCAGGGATGACTTTATAGTATAAGTGTGTAATTACTGCCTTATACCGCGTTATTAATACAATTTCATCAATTACAAACATTCAGGCTAGCTTTGACTAGCTAGCCTTTAGCCCGGGGCCAATAGGAAGCTCTCACTGTCTGACAGTAGAAACAGTTCTATTTCATTATTTAATATCTTTGACCAATATCTCCTCGCTGAGTTATACTTCAACAATCTGTTCACCACAGTGTGTTTTGGACATTCAGAGCAGCTGTTGGCTAACCCAGGCTACCGTTAGCTTAGCAATTAAAGCAAAACTAAGTTTCCCTCAGACGCTGGTGGAGACCAAAAACAGAGCAACAATGACTCTGGTTGACTCAAACATGACTCCAATTCAGAAGTCAAAAACCAGCTCAGGACAGCAGACAAACATTTCGGTGAAGTTCAGGCAGTTTTTTTTCTTTAATAAGTTATGAAAACACGTCTACTGACCGACGATTAATTCTCTAAAACTGTTGCTCAGACTGCCAGAGAATATTCCAGAGACTCTGACGGAGGTCAGCGCCGCCTTCACATGGATCTCATTCGCTCGTGAGCACAACAGAGAAGTCGTGAGAATACCGTCGCTAGACACGAACACCACGAACATGTTGATGTAGGCGGAGGGTAGAAGCTTGTTCATGGAGCTCCGTCCTCTCCGTCTATGTTCTACACAGAACCGATTTAAAATCACTTCTGGAAACTAAAACCTGCTGCACTGAAAGTTTTGCCAAAGGTTCGGATTGTGCAATAAAGCAGCGATGCTAGTTCTCTCTACGGATGGTTCCGACCTCCTGGCCTGCTAATGTTCTATCAAAACAATGAATCGGACTTTGAGTGAACGCTGGTTCTGGCCAGGACGGCTGTGATCGGTCTAAAGGAGCTTTGTACCCGCTATAGCAAAGTTCTAGCGCAGATGGTTGTGTGGCGTCGGCGCCAGAGGACGGTCCGACTATGCAAGACTTTGTTAGACTAGATAAGATCACAACGTAGAACTCTTTCATTGAACCAGAACTTTAGGAGAACGTCCACTAACGAGATCGTGACCGTCACACGAAGGCGGCGTTAACGTGATTTGTTTGAACGCAGCATCGACTCCATCTGATCGTATTCTGAACGCACAAGTGGTCGTCTCCTCCGAACCCTGAGGACGCCCAACGTCTCCACCTCAGTGCTACGCTAACACAGCGCCGTCGGGTCGGGATCCGGTCCGATGAACATCTGCTTGCGTTTGCTCGTCCAGGTCCGACTCGAGTCTCCGTGTCGTCTCGTCTCAGCAGCAGAAACTCCGGCGACCTGAACCCGTTTTGATACAGAGACGATGTCAACTTTCTTAAACTCAGCGTTTCCTCCTCCTGGATCTCATTTCTGCTCCACATGAGGATTAAAACAGAACCAGCTGAAGCAAAGAGCCCAGCAGGTCGCCTCGTCTGGGTCCACTTCAGCTTTTAACCCTCCGATGCGAACACATGGACCGGCTGTAGACGTCGACTGATTGGTTTGTGGTTTGTTTTCCGGGCGACGATGCGACAGGCCGACCCGCTAGCAGCCCGACCCGCTAGCAGCCCGACCCGCTAGCAGCCCGACCCGCTAGCAGCCCCGTCCTCCTCCACGCCGCTCCACTATAACCTGACATATGCAACCGACCTGTTTTTAATCATCGGTTTTGTAAAGACGCCTCTGCTTTGTATTTAGGGGAAGAAAAAAAAACGAATAGAAACATATTTTTGAGGATCATATTGTTGACTTTTGGTTGTAAAAGAAGAAACGATGCTGATTATTATTCTACCTGTGACTAGTGCACCTGTGCTGTGATCGTTCTTTGGTGTCGTAGCGGTTTCTTATTTTTCCATGAGGGTTTGTAGTGTCGTACGTTCAGTTAACATTCCACGATATTTTTCTAAAGCTGCATGCAGAGACTGAAGGGTTCTACCTGTGGACCGACTCAGACGACGGTTACTTTTGATTTGTTTCGGCTCGTGTTATGTTGATTAAAATATGAAGTCCTGAGGATGGTGTTAAAAAGAGGAGCTCATGGTTTTGGTCGGTGCCGTGTCCCAGTAAATAGAATAAAACCTTGTCCTATGAAAACGTGTCTGGTGTCTCTGTTCAGTCGGACCTGTTGCCTCCACAGGTGTGCTGGGCTTTGTGGTTCCAGAACCAGTGGGTCTTCAGCTCGGTCGGGTTCAGGTGAGTTCAGACGGGTCGATCTGGATCAGCTCAGACGGGATCGACGCTGCTGCAGCGTCTCTGATGTGTTCAGTGTTGAAACTGAAATGAAGGATTTAATTTGCTGAAAAAAAAAGAATATTTTGGACATTTTAAGGCAGTTATTGTTAAAAACAAACAAAAAAACCCTAAAAATTATTTTTTATGGAAATTATTATTATTTTACATCAGACGTATAAATTGTGTTTTTTAAAAATTATTTTTATTGTTTTTATTTATTTTAAAATTATGGAGAAAAAATCAGTAAATTTTTTTTTTAAGCCAGAAAAATACTGTAAAAATTATCGAGTAATAAAATCATCAGCTCTTAAAAAACGATCTGTTGGATCATATTTGATATAAGATGTTCTTTACAAACACAGTTTTAAGGTTTTAAAAGTCATTTTATGTTCGACGTGTAAATTATTATCATCGTTGTTATATTATTATAAATACGTTTTTATTCACTCGTTTCAAAAACAGAATTCTGTGAAGTCCGTTATTTTTACAGTGAGATGGATTCATGTGTCGACGGCTGATTGTTTCTGTTCTGATGATAAATTTATAGATTTTTATTATTTTAATTTTTGTTAAAAGAAATCCTCGTAGGCTGTTGCCATGGTTACAGGTTCAAACTTTTCCATGAGGTTTCTGGGACATTCAGCGACATAAAATCTGTAAATATATATAAACACATGTTAGCTAACAGGTCGGCTTTAAAGACGGTTCTGAAGAACTGCTGAAGTTCTAACGCTGAAGCTGTCGGACGTTTCAGGGTTCTGAGCTTTAGGTAAAAGTTTCTGCATGATTTGTTTTTCAGAAAAAACAAACAACATGAACCAGGAAAGGTTCTTCAGTCTGACTGGACTGAGCCCACGTCGCTGCTGGATGCTCCAGAAGATGCCCCACAGGCTGGAGGAGCTGAACCACCTGATTCTAATTCATCGTTCTGCTTTGGTGTCCGTCTGATGTCAGGAAGTCCAGGTTCTCCAGGTTCTCCAGGTTCTCCAGGTTTCTCTGCTGCTGTTTTCTATCGAGCGTTAACAGAGTTTAACCACAATCAGGACGATCAGAGGAAAGCAAGCGTTTAAGTTGGAGGAAGTCGACACTTGAATTAAAATGAATCTGAGGAACCAGATCGTTCCTCATCAGTCGACTCCGTGTTCGTAACTGAAGCGGCTCCAGCAGAAGATAAAAATACAGCTGGTGTGTAAAGTGAGCCGGGTCCGGGCCGAAGGCGGCAGGACGTCCGTGTCCGCTGCACATCCACGCTAAGTGGACTATTAATACCCCGTGCAGTGGTTCTGGAGGTGGAATTTCATCCACGCTCGGAGCTTTCCGCACCGGACAGCTGACGGACGGATTTCTGCTCCACTTTCTCCCAACAGCTGCACTCGGACACGTCTCGGCCTCCAAGCGTCTCTCAGCGGTTCTGATGGAGGAGCTTCACGTTCCACCGCCGCCGTTCCAACGTTCTGCTGCTGAACACTGATGGACGTTACCTACAAGGTCCAATCAGGTTCTGAAGCTCTGACAAAAAGAACGTTTAAGGATGTTTATCATTTACAACAACGCCCCGTTTCTCTTGTAAAGACCTTCTATATGAGTCCATGTTTAGTCTCCAGTGACTCCAGATGTTCTCTGATGGAACCACTGACTCTCTGTCAAACAACAATCCTGTGTTTGGTTCTTTCACAGATTTATGGAAGGTCTTGTGGAGACATGATTAAAACTGTTGGATCATAATTATACAGACACTTGAATCATGAGTTCTGGTGATGTAGGAGGTTGTGTTGATCCAATGTTCTTAGCTCCATGGCCTCCTGACTTCTAGTGAGCAGAACCTTAAAGCTCCACTGAAGTCTGCTGCTGGTCACATGGACAAAGAAAAGGCCTTCTGGAGGAAAGTTCTGGTCAGATGGAACAAACACTGAAACACCAGACCTACCATCAAGCATGGAGGTGGCAGCATCATGCTCTGGGTTAGTTAATGAAGAAGGAGGATCACCTCCAGGTTGTTCAGGAGAACCTGAAACCATCAGCAGAAGTTCTGGAGTCACTGCAGACTGAACACTGACTGATCAACATGGACTTTACAGACGACTGTATGTTAATGATCTGATTGAACGAGCTGCAGAAGAACTTTGAGCTTTAGTTTTTATTCCAGTGACATGAATCAAAGCTCCGATAACTGTGAGACAAACATTAAATATCCAACTCCATGCTACGTTCTCATGTACAGTACACGCTCCTGCTGCGTGGTCATGTGACGCTTGATCATCTCTGTGAAGCACTTTGGTCGACAGTTTTTAAATAGCTTCATTAACAACGTCCCGACTGGAACAGACTCGAACACTCGAGCTGCTTCGTCTCCTCAGTGGTGAGAAACCCGAACACCAGAACGTCAGTGGTTGTTTCCTTTAGTGCCACAATCATCCGGGTTCTCTTCAGAGTTCAGGATGTTTGACAAAAACAGCCTTTTCTCTTCGTACCTTCAGACCTGCAGTGGTTCTGACTCCGGTTCTGCTGACGTTTAGTCCATCAGGAACACAAACACTAAACTCATCGCTTAAATATCTGACATGTGACGAGATCTGGAAACACCTCCACCTGGTTTATCATCACACTAAAACCTGAGGCGTTCCACAGAGCTCCGTCCTCGGTCCTCTGAGGTTCTAGTTTCACCTGAAGGATTCCAGTGTTTAACTGAAGCTCGATCACTTTAGTTGACAGGACAACTGTCAGTTAATCAATAATTGATTGATGATGCTGCCGATGATAACAAGAGTTATGAAAATTTAGAGTCCCTGCCATGAGTTCTGTTCTCTCTGATCCACACCTGTTTGACAGGTTTGGGTTCAAATCGGTGCCGATCAGTGAGAAGATGTTCTGATGATTCTTCACCCTGACCTCTGATCCCTGGTTCTATTATCTGAAGCAGTTTATTAGTTGGTGGAGGTGAAACAGACGTCCACACACTCAGATATCTACTCAGCGAGTTCGGTGTGTTTGTTGCTGATGTTGGACTGAACCAGCAGAACCGACCGGTTCTTCCTTCAGGCTGCAGCGTGAAGTCGCTCCATCTCAAACTCCTTCGGTTTGGAGGCCACGTTGGTGCATCCTTTACTCGTCCGGCCGCAGCCCGACTTCGACGCCTCGGCTGAGGCTCCGTGTGTCGCCGTGACGACGGTGAGGTCATCTGGCGGCGGCGGGTCCAGATCCGGAGACTTCCGACCGTAATAGAGCGCCCAGAGCAGCGTGAGGGTGAGCGCCATGGCGAGGATCTGAGCCACGCCGATGGACACGCCGAGGAACCGCAGAACCTGCAGCTGCTTCGTCCCACGGATGAAGCTGTAGATCTTCGGACCGCAGCCCTGAAACAGAACCAACCAGAGTTAGCCAACATCAGAACAGGACCCATATGTAGTAAAACCGATCCCCACATGACTGGGATCTGGTCCCGAGGTGGTCCACGGTGGCCAAACAAATGTCCTCATCCATCCTCCAGGAACACTCCAGGGAGGAACATCTCAACCTCCAAGTGTTTCAGAAGAATCAGAAGCCGCCGGTCTCACCTCTTGGTGCAGGTCGCTGAGGTCGTGGAAGTGGGCGTGGCGGGCGCATCCTGGATACTGATTGGAGCAGCAGGAGTCCGGCGGCCACTCCATCTCCGTCATCTCCAGCCAGTCGGTGAAGTAGATCACGCCGCAGCATTTAAACTGCAGGCAGGTGGAACACACACACCTGTCAGGTCACATGACCACCCCTGTGTGTGTGTGTGTGTGTGTGTGTGTGTGTGTGTGTGTGTGTATGTGTGTGTTACCTCCGTCTGGAAGCTGTTCCAGGTGTGTGTCAGCCACTGGTACCTCTGCAGGCCGTAGTTCGGCATCCGAGACTTCAGACTGATCATATCAGAGCGCTGCACCGACGGCTGGTGGAGGTTACAGCAGGTCACAGGTCAGAACACACACGGAACACAAAACTAACCGGAAAACTAACGTAAAACTAACCTGAATTTGTTAGACTGTTAGAATTTAGTTAACATGAATTAACATGATTATAACCTAAATCTAATCTCAATCTAACTTAAACCCAATCTGAGTCTAACCCAAATATATCCTAAACCTGACCTGAATCTAACCTAAACCTTAACCTTAACCTTAACCTAACCTGAATCTAATCTTAATCTAACCTGAACCTAACCTGAATGCAGCCTAATCCTAACTTCACTTTAATATAACCTGAATCTAACATGAATCTATCCTAAACCAAACTCAGTCTAACACAAACCTAACCTGAATCTAATCTTAGTCTAACCTGAATCTAATCTTAGTCTAACCTGAACCCAACCTGAATCTAATCTTAGTCTAACCTGAACCTAACCTGAATGCGGTCTAATCCTAACTTCCCTTTAACAAGGAGCAGCTTCCTGTCAGAGAGTCGATGCTGCGTTCAGACCTTTAAACAAAATGACAATAAAACCTCCTGAAGTCTCTTCAGACAGAACGTCTGATGAAACAGTGATGATGGTGAAACAAAGGACCACAAACAGAGACAAACGTTAGAAATCCTGAGATTCAAAAGTCAAACGAATGAAATATGAAATCAGAAATATGAGAACAAATCTGAAGCAGCAAACGAGAAGTTCAGTTTGTGACAGAAAGACTCTGAATCACAGCATCTGGTGATTTTCTGAGAGTTTTAGACTCAGATTAACGTGATTCTGATGAAATATCAGCGCTTTAAGCTCAGATTAAAGTTAATCTTCCTGATTGAACTGGATGCAACGTGTGATTAGTTCAAAGTCTGGGGATTTTTTGGGTTTTTACAGTTTCTGGCTGATGACTGGAGTCATTCTGGAGGTTTTTATTTTCATGTTTTAACTCTTCCGGTGTTAAATCAGCTGATTTAACTTCTGTGTTCTGACGCTGCTTCGGTCAGACTGGTTCTGGTTTTCCTGCAGTTCCTCCCCCACAGACACAAACACCTGAAGCCCAGGTGTGTCCGTGCTGCTGATAAGAGTCACTACGTTACCCAGAATGCCCTGCAGGCAGCTGAGCTAAAGCACACACAGCTGCACAGACGAGGTCGGCCCGAGGCCACGAACTGCATCAAAGCATCCGAGAAACATGGCTGCTGCTTCTCTACGACACCGAGGTCAGCCTCACGGATAAAAACACGACGTTTGTAAAAGCAGAAAACACAAAACTACACAACACTACACAAAACTACACAACACCGCACGAGCTCCCACGTTACGACACCAAATGTTCTGCAAACCTTTAAAATCGGATCATTTCAGGCAAAAGTCAAAGACAAAAATCAGCCAAACTGCAAAGTTTCCTCCACAAAAAGCACAAAAATCACAAATAGAGCTAAAAAACATAAATATTAAATATTAAAGTTCATAATAAACAACAAAGACGAGACAAAACTGAACCAAAGACACAAAAATGAAATAATTCATGTAAATGTTTGTGTTTAAAAGCTGCTGCATGAGAAAATATCAAAAACTGGAATATTTGTGTTTTATTTCAGCTCGAATTAGGGACGGCGACCACGTCGGTACCGGTCCGATCAACACGTCGGTACCGGTCCGATGAACACGTCGGTACCGGTCCGATGACCACGTCGGTACCGGTCCGATGACAACGTTTAGCTTTTGTTACGTAATAAAGAAGACCACGTGGTCTAATCTGGGCTTCTGCTGAACAGCGTTCTCACAGTGCTGACTGATACTTATTGTCTGGTGTGAACAAGAACTGAACATCGACATCGTGACTTCGGTTATCGTCGATATCAGAACTCTAATATCGGATATCAGACATGTTCATATCGTGCATCTCCAGCTCGAGTCTGTTTTCATTCGAGCTGCCTTCTGTTAAAACAAACGTCTGAAACTTTTCGCTAATCTGTGAAAACTCATCATTTTAAATTCAAACATAAAAATCAGCCGGCGATCAGTTTTCCTGACAGCAGCATAAAAACCAGTAAAACTCTCAGACTTCTGTCTTCAGGTGAAACATCAGGTCGTCTGTCAGCCGCTGACACGCTGATTTATTTTATTTCCTGTCGTCTGAATGCGTCACCGTTACTGACTTTAGATCAACCAGATGACGGAGCAGCAGTAGTGTTACAAACTATGATAAATGAGTGTATGAACAGCGTTCAGGTGAAGCGGCTGCTGTCAGGTGCGCTCGTCGTCGCCGTCGTCGTGTTTGTGCGTCTGAAACAGGATCTGATCCGAGAGCAGCAGCGATCCGGACGTGTCTCACATTTCTGGTTATTCTTAGAGTCGAGTCGCGTCCAGACTCGGGTCTGAGCTGCAGCTGCTCCCCAAGCCGGAGGCGTCCAGAGGTGCAGAACCCCGAAGAGTCGGGTTATGAGGACGGAACCAGAGGAGTCGGGTTCAGTATAGACTCAAGGCTCAAAGTTATCGGATAAAGGTGGAGTTGTATTAAACTGGTTTGTTCTGAAGCAACATGAGGAACTTTAGGGAAAAGTGAAAAAGATTTTAAACACTTGATCCAAAAAAAAAGCTCCAAAATGACTCAACTTGTCAACTTTTTTTTTTTTCAGTTTCAGACACGAACAAATGAAAAACAAAACAACAAAACGTGACGACAAAGAGACAAAAAACAACATAAATGAGAAACAAAACGACCACAAAGAGAGAAAACAACCAAAAAAAACCCAAAGATGAGCGACAACACAACAAAACAAAACGTTAATCGACCCCAAATTCATACAAAATGATTAAAGTGACAGAAAAAGAAAATAGAGAAATAACATGTAAATGAACAGGAAGTGACAGAAAACAACAAAAACTAGATGTTAAGTAAAAAAAACAGTTTGTAGAAGCTGTAAAAGTGTGAAATGTGTTCAGTCTGACATGTTTCTGGTGTTTAACATCTGAGGAAACATGTTGGTTGTGAGATAAATAATCTGATCTGATCTCAGACTGTGTGTTGCCGTGGCGCTGTGTTGCCGTGGCGCTGTGTTGCCGTGGTGCTGTGTTGCCGTGGCGCTGTGTTGTGGTTTGTGGGTTCCTTCTCCCTGTCGTGTTCTGTTCTGGTATCTGGTGCTGAACACACTGGACCTCCTCACCTCCTCGTAGGTCCACACGGCGCTGGCCAGCTCCACGCAGAAGATCACCAGCAGGCTGCCGAAGTACTGAAACACACAAGAAGCCGTTCTAGTCACCTACAGAACGTCTGGGGAACATCTGGGGAACATCTGGGGAACATCTGGGGAACGGTTAAATGTGTAACCGAGTCGTTCGGTCACGTGACCTCTCGGGTGTTTTCCCATCAGCCCCTGGGGGAGTCGCGCTGAAGCTGCTCTCTGTCATCTCCTCCCAGGGACAATGGAGACACCCGACACCTGGCCCCGCCCCCTCAGGTGACAGCAGACAGGTGATGTGGATCACAGGCAGACAGACTGAGCTCTGTTAGCGAACCTGCCTCCACCTGAGGGCTCACCTGGCTCACCTGTTTATATCTATACATGTGCTGTATGTACATCGTTATGTACCTGGACGAGGAGGCGGAGCCAGGTGTCATCTACCTGCTTTACCAGCTTAGACGACTTTACTGACCTTCCTACATGTGACTTCAAAGTGTTTGTTACCTGAAAAGTGCATTAAATGTAAATAAAAGTTGAAATAGAAAACGTAATTTAACAAAATAAAACCCTCACGTACAAAATGTATTTTAAAAAGTCTGTAAACATTTTAGAAAAATTCTTCGTAGTATTTAGAGTTTTGTCTTTTGTTTTTTAATGGTTTACACATAAAGGAATGCTTTTGTCAATGATTTTACTCGTTATTATCTGAAACGAGTCAGGAGGAAAAAGTAAAGTAGCAGTAAATTACTTCCCAAAAATGTCCTTTTTTCCCTTCGTAATCATATACGTTTATTTTAGGGATGTTTATGATTAATGCTTCATCAATAAATCACCATTAATAGTTTTTAAAATACAAACATATTAGCTAATGCGTGTCAGTAAACGTATCGTACACCAGCTGTAGTACCTGGTTGTTCCACCAGGTGGAGCCTCTTCTTGTTTACTCCTGTAGAGACCAGAGGAGTCTACAGACTACAGCTCATGGTGGCAGCAGAGAGCATTGTGGGAGTTTAGCAGCAACGGGACCATGACAGAGACTCTGAGGAGGTTCATGTCGACTTGTGAGAGCTCATGTACTCAAGCTGTGTCGTAGCTGACTGTGACGGCGTAGAGGTACGTGACAAGTATTGGTAAGGAAACTATCAACCCGAGTGGACTTTAAACTTTTTAAACTCTACTTTGCATGACACCGTGTCCCTGAAGGTGCACCGATGCTACGTACCCAGGACAGCAGCAGCAGGTTGCACCTGAGCGTGCCGCAGTATCCCACCATGGCAACGATGATGAGGAAGCAGCACACGGCGATGATGACGGGATGGACGGCCGGAGAATACGTGAGGACGGCAGCTTCCTCCAACCTGCAAACACAAACACTCCATTTATTCACAGCACCTATAAAGCTAGTGTAAAAACACCTGGATCTGGAAGGTCCAGTCACTGGTGGATCAGAACTCCTGGATAGAACTACACCATGAAGACTGAAGAACCCTCCAAGAACTCTGTGGAAAAA